AGTCCTTTACCAATCATTCGATTGGTGAGTCTAGCTTGAATGCATACCAGCTGTCAGACCGTGGAGCCAACAACTCCACTCTGGAATCGACTGTTGAAAACAATTCCCAGTGGATCTCTTCCCATTCACATCTGCAGGATAAAGAAGGGGGAAATGATTATCGGGTTGAAATGAGGTTCCAGCCCCTAGACTCCGTTTCCCATCAGAACTTTGGCTCTGGCATGAAATGCTCGGGTCTCCAAGGGCACAATTTGCAGAAACTACGTCAGCGAAACCATGAAGGCAAAGAATGGGGTCTTGCAGCCAGGGAGGGGTCCATGGACTCTGTGCAGATGCTCGACACCTTGAATGTTGGGGTTGATGTGGAGGAATGGCCTTTGCACAGGGACATTACTCTTTCACCCCCTTTAACGTCTTTTCCAGAACCACTGGAACAAGAAGGAGAGCATCTGAACCTGATGAAGACAAACTCAGTAAGTAAATAGCGTGATGGCCTTTGGAAATGAAAGGTGACAATGTTCTGTATGCCTAATGCTATCGATTAATAGAGCATCATATGTGACCCTGGACCACAAAACCAGTCATAAGATTTATACATCATCTGAAAGCTGAATAAATAAGCTTTCTATTGATGCATGGTTTGTTAGGATAGGATATTTGGCCGAGATACAACTATTTGAAAATCTGGAATCTAAGGGCGCAAAAAATCTAAATATTGAAAAAAAAAAAAAGCCTTTAAAGTTGTCCAAATGAAGTTCTTGCATATTACATTCCATATAGAGAAACCGATTTCTAACGACAGAGTTTAAACCTTTCGAGACAAACCTACCATGAGCTCTGAGGTGCTTAAATGATGATATATGCTTAGAAGCCACAAGGCAATGTAATTAAAATTGTGCTTATTAATACAGTAGCTCAGTTCTGGGTGTAGAACTACACTACCCATAATTCAGAAGAGAGCTCCGCCAATCAGCGAAGTTACAATTACAATGGAAATATAATTGCTCCAAATACACTCAGAAGTGACCACTCATTCCCATAAAGCATTGCAAATGAATCAATTATTCAGTCTGACTATTGAGCTACTAATGGAGTTTTTAACAATAATATAGTATTTTGGTATTTTTACTTTATCTATACTGTTTCTGATTAGATTCCATCATTTGTATTGCTTCATGGAATGTGTCATTCATGTATTAATAAAATAATTAAAGACTTTTTTCCTTAGTTTATTATGGTGAACCAGATCTCAGAGCTGGTTGGTTTCATTCAAGGCTTAGACCTCTGTATTGAAGATTTTCTAATTCCTACGGAGAAAATGAATAGAAAAATACTTCTGGAACCCAGGCAACTGAAAAAGTGGATGCTCTTAGGGTCACCGTTGGGCTCTGTTTGCTGTGTAAAATGCTACATTATGTATATTGCACTTGGAAATATTAGGAAGGAGCAAATAGTATCTAATAAGGATCTGTAAACTGATCTTGCTAAATGTTACATTTAGTGGAATAAAGACATTAATATAATACTTTTTAATAGTTTAAATATGTTTAAATGTGCAATACAGTGTTTTTAATAAGCTATTTTACTCTCTTTCTGCAGGGCTCCAGCTCTGTCCTGGTGGTCATGGTGTTATTACTCAACATTGGTGTAGCCATTTTGTTCATTCATTTCTTTATTTAATCATATGGCCTATAGAATGTCAATAACAGCATTGATCATAATCAAGAGTAAGATATGCACACAATGCACACTTAGCACCACTTCTTAATATAAGGAACCCAAAAATCACAGTAGTAAATGTCTGTGTAAGTCGGGCAAGTACATGTAAATTGTAAACTTCTTTTATGGTTCTATTTATTATCTAATTCCATTATAATCCATTAGTTAACTTTGCTTACTTTTTCCTCCATTCATAATAAAGGTCCATTTACAATATTCTGTAGAAATGAAGTATTACACACATCTAGGTTTTTTAATATACAGCTCGTCTGATATGTTTTACCACATATTTAACAGTTACAAAAGATTATTTCACACTCATTTGTTTTCTTTTCAAATGCACATAAGGCCATTATTGAGTAACGAGACACTGAAGATGAATGTGCAAAGACGGTCTTGTGGTTTTATGTACTATGATATAGTTGATGTAAGATGTGATTCACACTTATATATAACCAAGACTACACGCCCTCCCCCCCTCCCACTGTATTCCAGGGTACAGCCCTAAATGATCGCTGCAGGCGCTCATTACGTCATCCATAGAAATCAACCCTCTCATCTACATACCCAGATCTGACACACCTATAAGTCTGTGGTAACAGCTATCTTAAAGGGCTTCATCATAGTGCATTCCCATTAAACTCATGCCATTTGAATCAGATAAGCCTGCAGAATTCTTTCCACACTTACGAATCCCGCCTCACCGATTTCAGCACAATCCAGTCGTGTAGTTCGTTTTGACTCACCGAAAACACATTCACCATTGAAACACTGCTATGCCAAACTCACTACTAAAGAACCTTCTGTGTTTTCTTGTACACCACATGATGTCACATCTGCTATGGGACATAAAAGTACAACAGAGGTGCAGCAGTGGCTGAGTATTCCGGCTCATACTCGATAAAGTTTGAGACTGTTATCTTATGACCACTGCTTTCAATATATATGATTCTATATTACTGAACAGTTAACATATTTTAACAAGTTTGCAAGATATCATTGATATGCTGAGTGCCTTTTTAAATTGAGAAACCATCCCAGCGAGCAGGTTATGTACTGATGACCGTTCATACAGAGGTCACGTGAAATGGTTTGTCTCTCTCCCACCCCACCTTTGAACAAATCAAGTTGGCTTAAGAACTGAGCCTAAGCCTGTGGAGACTTTTACAGCATGTTTGTTAGCCTGTTCTCTTCTGCTGTTACTCTGTGTGATTTTCTGCCTGTCTCTCTGTCCAGCAACTTAGATAACAATTGGGACTGAAAGCAGTGTAAAAATACCAGCTTATGTTTCTCAGTGGGACCTGACTGACATTATCTAAATTAATGAATGATAAACTGCTATTGTATATTTTATACTACTCATCCAGTGATATCATGTTGTGAGATCATTGCATGCCTAAGCATGCCCTTTCTTACGCAATGATTTATGAGATTGTTTCCAAGTTATGTGGAAAATTAATAAAATGTTTGAGGTTATGTTGTGCCTTATATTTGTCAAAGAAAACATTCACACAAAAAACACAATCTTCCATTTTTATATCAGACGTGGATTTGGTTATCAACAAATAAAGGAGCCCATTGAAATTGAAATGCTAAATATGGAGTTTGTAGTCCCACCTTATAACAGTGCCAAAATTATTGTTGAAAGCAGCATCACAATGCCCAGTATAGTGGCTATAGGACTGAAAGTCCCACCTTACAGTTAAAAGAGCCAGTCTTATGTTTGTTTATTCTAGTGTACATTAGCTGAACTAGCCTAATAGATACGTTTGAAGTTTTGTGTTATTTAAGCCACTTTTGAAGTGGTATTTATGATTTCACTGTTGACAGATTTAATTTCTGACATAATCTTGACCAAAACTTGTTTCAGGTTTCAAGCTTTCTTCGTTCAAGTAGATGTAGCTGTGTATGCATGACTGGAAATATGTATTTGAAAGGACTCATCAGGGCCGTAACCACCTTGAGTCATTTTAAATATTATTATTTTTTATAATATATACCAGTGTTCCATTTCTATATCAGATGTGGATTTGGTAATCAACAAATAAAGGAGCCCTGGCAAAAAAGACATTACAAAGAGATGAGCAACTCATACATACAAGAATAGAAGAAATTGTAATGCTAAATATAATAATATAAAAAGTATTTTTGAAAGTGGCATCACGACACCCTCTATGGTGGCTGTAGGACTCAACGTCCCACCTTACAGTAAAAAGGGCCAGCCTGTTTGTTTATTCTAGCGTGCACATTAGCAGAACTGGCCTAAAAAAAAGTTTTGTCACTTTTTGATGTGGTATTTATGATACCACTGTTGACAGATTTTTATTTCTGACATAATTTTGAACAAAACTTGTGGAGATTTCAAGCTCTGTTCGTTAAAGTAGATGTAGCTGTGTATGCATCCCAGGGGCAGTGGACTGACTTGTGAATTTAAAAGGACTCATTATATTCGGGGCATAACCACCTTTAATATAATGAGTCATTTTAATATTATTATTTTTTTTAATATAATAAATCCCTCTAAATACCCCTAAACCTTGAATATTTGGTTACATTCTTGATTATATTAGCCTGTCTTGTCTTTCTGTAAACTGTATGGACTGATTTGTATTTCACTAACAGCACAAACTGTACTGTAGGGGATTCACTGATCAATGTCCTAATAATATACCAAGAATAAAACGTTGGGTTTAACAATAATAAATGACATTTTAAAAAACATACATACATGATGGATTTTCTAGGCTACATTATTTTGAATAATTCCTAAGAATCCACTAATTCCTTTAGGATTTGCAGAGAATATAGGCTATGTATTAGGCTACTGGAGTCAAACAAAACTGTATTCGAAAATTAGCCATGGTTGTATTGTAGTAAAAGTGTAGTAACCATGTTTTTTTTTTTTGGCGTATTGATTACTATTTGTATAAGCACAGTTTTACTAGCCTACAAATACCACGGCTAAACTATGGTTGATTTGTGGTTACCATGGTTTAACTATAGTAACCGTGTTTTTTGGTTTAGTAAAACCATGGTTAATTTTCGTAAGGGATATGTATTTCAGAATATCTAAATTGCATATGCTACTCTCAAGCCATTGCATAAACGTTGCAACGCCATTGTGAGGACAGACTGATTTCATTATTTGATCATTTTTAAACATAACTACACGACATGTAATCGTAAAACGATTTGAACGATTCGCTTATATAAAAGAAAATCAGTGATTTTCCATCGCCTTGATTCCGCCCATATCATCGGGGTGTCCGCCTTGTTCGAGAGGCTGGTCGTATAGGTCCGATGCGTCACGTTTATTTGGGCCTTCTGCACCCACTGGCAGGGAAGCGCCCGATTTTTTCTCTCCCTGCCTTAAAACGTCCTGTATATATTTATTCCAAGCGTGGATCTTCGGGAAAACAAGGTATCGAAAGAAAAACGCGACGCAAAGTAGGTTAAAGCCAGTGAGTGAGGTGGCGGCGGCTGCTGCCTTTTTTAACGCAATAGCTAACGTTACAGTTTAGCGTACTGGTAAACACACTTGCATGGGGCTTTGCCTATCATTTGCACGCAGTTCTGCAGACGCGTTATGCAATTTGCAGTTAATGTTTTTATTGCATGTGTGTTTTGTGAGTCATATAAAATGTAGCGATTGCAGACGGGCAGATTGATATAACGTTAGAGAAGAGCATTAGCATCGCTGGCTAGCCCTGACTGCAAGTGTGCATCGGTCAAAAGCTAGTTTAAGTTTTCTTGCACACAAACTGAATAAAAAGCAATGAAACCGTTTTATGCTAGGCCTTACGCTATGGCTTTGCATATGGATTTCTAGTACACGAAGCATGGCTTATTTTCTGCACCAGTCAAAGAATTAAGATTATCAAAGGAAATTCCAGGTTTCTCCCTTTTTTTTCCCCCCCGGCTAGCAGGCAGTCGGCTTTACAATTCGTTTTGTAACTTTAGATTCTTAGTGTGTGCATTGCATGGCATGATTATTTGTGTTGTATTAATATTGTATTTCATATATATATATATATATATATATATATATGTTGTTCTTGTCAAGTGTGTGTGAGCATGTTTTAATGGGAATTTTAATTTGGATTCAATTACACATTGGACCATAACAGTGATATGCATGTGATTGGTGTAGTAGCTTGAATATCACTAGGGTGTCTTTCCTTCTGAGTTTATTCCATAATCATTATTAACAGAACTCAGGGTTCCCACAAGATATCAGAGAAATTAAAATAGCGAAAAGACATGGAAAATATATATTTTTGGCTTATAATTTTATCAGCTAGAATTAGCTTTTTTCTCAGTGAGTTCATGCATTTGTTCCTAACCTTTTTGACCTCTCTTCTGCACAATTAATTTAGTTTTGTGAAATTTCAGTTTCAAATTTCAGTATTCTTTCAGTAACTATTCTTAAATTAAAAAAAAATAAATAAATGTTGAGGGAAACAAAATAAATATGAGGTCGGTTTACTTGTATGTCTTCAGTGACATTAATTTAAATTAGATTTTATTATTGTTTTTGTAAAATAATTTATTTTGAATTGAGTTTCCTGGTTGAGAACCATTGATGCAATGTAATAGTACTTGTATTATGATTTATAAAATCAGTAATTGGAAAAATGCATCTTTTTTTTCCCCAAAAGATATGGGAGCCCTGAGTAATTCTTGCGTAAATGATTTGCTTTGTGTAATAACCCACTGTTTTTCTTATTGCAGGTATGCATTTGGAGACAATTCTTTGTAGTTTACTGGAGAAAATTTCAGATGACCCCCTGGATTGGTATTTAACATAAGATTTCACCTTGTCGAACACTCATACCATGAGCAAGCTTACCCAACAATCTTGAACCTCTCCACAAGACTATTTTAGTATCATTTGTTACCTTTGTGAACTGACTATCACTATCACTTGTTGAAACATTTTTGTGCAATCAGGTCCCAAAGTGCTGATCCCTGAAAGCTGAATTCATACATGTACAGTGGAAGAATGACAGAAGCATGGCAACAGCAACATGCAGTGGCCCCTCCTCCCGTTGGGCACCCCCTTCTACAAGGGGCAGAGAATGCTTTGGGCAGTGCTGCATATGGTATTGTCCTACAGGCAGACCCTGCTTTACAGCAGTCTCAGCATGGCCAACATGCACAGCAGCACCCGCTGCCAGCTCAGCAGCCTCAGCTGCAGGTGGGAAGTGAAGGTGGCCACAAATGTGGTGCGTGTGGCCATGATATTTCACACTTGGCCAATCCCCATGAGCACCAGTGCATGGTTAACCAGGACCGTTCGTTCCAGTGCACTCAGTGCATGAAGATCTTCAGCCAAGCAACGGATCTTCTAGAGCATCAGTGTGTTCAGGTTGAGCAGAAGCCGTTTGTGTGTGGTGTGTGCAAAATGGGATTCTCCCTTCTCACGTCTTTGGCACAACATCATAATGAGCACACCAATGGAAACAATCCAATGAAGTGCTCTATTTGTGAAAAAACGTACCGCCCAGACTCCTCCTCTTCTAACCCTCAGCAACCCTCTACTGCTGAGACATCCAGTGATGGGGCAGCCATGGGTTCCTCTTCCACTACAGCTTTCCAGGACTCCGACCGTCCATATAAGTGCTCGGTGTGCAATAAGGCATTCCGCCACCTTTCTGAACTCTCACGTCATGAAAGAGTGCACACGGGCGAGAAACCCTACAAGTGCGACACTTGTGAGAAGACCTTTAGTCAAGCTTCTCATCTGGCGCACCACCAGCGCACTCACAGTGCAGATCGCCCGTATAAATGTGCCGTTTGCGAGAAGACCTTCAAGCACAGGCAGCACCTGGTACGGCACATGTACGCTCACTCTGGCGAGCACCTTTTCAAGTGCAACCTGTGCGAGCTTCATTTCAAGGAGTCGTCCGAACTGCTGCACCACCAGTGCCAGCCAGCTGGAGAGCGTCCCTTCCGCTGCGCAGCATGCGGGAAAAGCTTCAAACGGCCCTCGGACCTGAGGCAGCATGAGCGCACCCACTCCGAAGAGCGGCCTTTCCAGTGTGAGGAGTGTCAGATGAGCTTCAAACAGCAGTATGCGCTTGTTCGCCACCGCCGTACGCACAAAAACCCAGCAGATCGCCCTTTCAAGTGCAATCAGTGTGACAAAGGTTTCCTGCAGCCTTCCCACCTGCTGTACCACCAGCATGTCCACGGTATCGAGAGTCTGTTCAAATGTGCCGCTTGCCAAAAGGGCTTCAGACAATCCGGGGAGCTTCTAAGGCACAAGTGTACAGAATCCAACTCTGGATCGAACGCTGTGGAGAAGCCGTACAAGTGCGACGTGTGTGGGAAGGGCTACAAAAAGTCGTCAACGTTACAGAGGCACCAGAACTCCCATTGCACCGAAAAGCCGCTGAAGTGCTCGCTCTGTGGCCGCCGCTTCCAGTCCTCGTCTGATTTTGTGCAGCACCGATGCGACCCTGCTCGGGAGAAGCCGATGAAATGCGCAGACTGCGAGAGGCGCTTTAACTCTAGTGCATTTTGACTCTGCTGTAATAATGACGCAATAGTCTGCAAGCAGTTCTGAGAGTAAATTTACAGTAGTACAAAGATTAACAGTTACTTTTTAACTGCCAGGCAACGGAGAACAACAATGAAGTATTTTTGTTTGCAGATTGCAAACAGATGGTGTTGCGTTAGCTAAATAATGCTGTAGAATTTGTAAAGTTATCTGTACATGGATGTTTTGTATCGGTTTGACATGAGTACAGTGCTAGGATTTAGTATCTGTTTGTGTATCATCATACTGTAGACTGTGCATGTGACTCTTTCCCTTTTGTGAGGATATGTTGGTTCTGTTTCGGTGGATTATTCTTTTGCCACAGACAACTTGTTCAGTTTCTCTGCCGCAAATTATTTCTTTACTTGGTATTTCTTCAGTTGGTATTTCATTTTGTGCTTTCCAAACTGGATCAGTTGACGGTAGAACCTTTGATTTGGGTTAAAATACTAAACCACAGATAGATTTGGACACAGCTTTTGAAATTATAAAAATTAAGAAATAATTTTAAACAAATTCAAGAGTAAAAATACATGTAATATGTTTAAAGGAATCTAAAAGCGCAGTATTAAGTAGTAGTAGAGTGCTTTTTAAACTTTAAAAACCTCTTACAATGCATTGTCTAAATGTCTAAGCATATTAATTGAATCCATATTAATGATACATTGTATTATCCTAACAGCTTGAATGTAAACATTGCAAACATTTCTTTTTCCCTTTCGATGCCTCTGAAGGCCTTATTAACATTAATGGCTTATGTGTCAGTATTTGTTCTGTTACAGATTTGTGTACTCTCATGTGCATTAAATGCAGAGACTGAATGGGGTCATTGCTTGTGAAGCAATATTTTTGATGTCGAGACTGTTAGCGGGTTCTTTTTTTGTATTTTAGCAAAAACAGAGGTTATCCCACCATCTAACACCTCTTCCTGTATGTCACTCAAGCCATCCCTTTAAATGTCTGTGTTTCTAGATAAGGCAGTGAAGAGACTAAATTTGTAAAAATGCCATAATGTGTTGTTTTTTTTTTCCCATTATCACAAAGGTGTGGCATGTCATAACTACAAGGCATTTACAAATTAAATGTTTGTAAACATAGCTAACCATTGTATTATTTGTGAACCAAATGGTAAAATGACTACAGACCATGTAGAACTTTCAGACTGATTTGACTGTAGAGGTGTAGACTCTTCAGTGTAGTGAAATATTGTTAAAGAGAACAAAATAATTTGGACATTAATACAGCTATCCTACATTTATGTTTTTTAAACAATTGAAATTTTAACACCTGTTATTGTTACACCAGAGGTGCCCAAACTCGGTCCTGGAGGGCCGGTGTCCTGCAGAGTTTAGCTCCAACTTGCCTTAACACACCTGCTGGGAAGTTTCTAATATGCCTAGTAAGAGCTTGATTAGCTGGTTCAGGTGTGTCTAATTGGGGTTGGAGCTAAACTCTGCAGGACACAGGCCCTCCAGGACCGAGTTTGGGCACCCCTGTGTTACACCATTATGGTTTAGAGCAGTGATGGGCAAACTTGGCCCTTCCAGGCCACTTTCCTGCAGAGATTTGGTCCAACCCTGATAAAACTCACCTGCCTGTAGCTTTCTAGTAGTCTTGAAGACAATGATTAGCTGGTTCAGGTGTGTTTGATTAGGGTTGGAGCTAAACTCTGAAGGAAAGTGACCTGGAAGGGCCAAGTTTGCCCACCCCTGGTATAGATGTTTTGTTTTATCCCACCAAAATATCATTTAAACTATATTTGTAAAAGGTATCAGACTGACTATAATACAGCATGCAGTACAAGTTTATGGTATAAGTGATGTACATGTACATCTTACAATCACTACAAATAAATGATAGAAATAAAATATAATTGTTAAAGCAGAAAAACTGCTGTTTGGGATTCCACACTTTAAACACTCAGTTGCAGTTCAATTTCTTGCGACTCTGGGTGGATCCTGGGGAGAAGGAATGGTATGGAGCATCGAATAATTATTTAAGTAGGAATATTAGTGTATATATGTGTGTAAGAATAGGAAAAGCAAAAACAAGGAAGAAATTGATTTTAAATAAACCATGACTGCATAACAGCAAAAGTAGGTGGCGATATGCACACAGGATGTAACGCGCCAAAAAACGGAAGAAGAAGAATTTCTTGCAACTCAATTCGGTGGCTTTTATTTTGAAAATGTTACCGGAAGTACGTACAGTATTTCCGGTGACTCCATCTATGCGATCGCAAAAATCGGCAGGAGTGCTATCCGCCTACCTGTCAGCGGTTCCCGCGATCGCTTACTGAATATAATTGGTGGATCAATGGGAGGAATTGGGACAGTCCAGTTGAAGATTAATCGGAAATCTGGGGCCGTGTGTGGGTTGAAGTTGTAGTGGCCGATTAAACCCATCCATCGCTATTGTTAGCTTAGCGCGTTTATCCGGAGGGAACGCTATTAAAGTG